TACTCCACCTTATTTCATTAACATCTTAAAGATCCTTCAAATATTCAATTGTTTTTGGATACTAAAATCTCTCCTTTTGGCAACCTTACATCTTTGATTTTCTCGGTGAATTCTTGTGAGTTTTTAACACTTAAGCTGGGTTGCGGAATCGATAGGGTTTCAAAATGTTTCGCGATGAATTCTTGTGAGTTTTCAACACTTAAGTTGGGTTGCGGAATCGCGAAACAGATTGAAACCCGCAGCTTCAGTGTTAAAAACTCACAAGAATTCATCGAGAAGATCAAAGATGTACGGTTGCGAGAAGGAGAGATCTTAGTATCCTTTGACGTATCTTCGTTATTTCCAAGTGTAAACATACCAAAAACAATTGAATTTTTGAAGGATCTTTTAGATGTTATTGCAGTATCTGAGAAAAAAATGGACCAGCGGAGTTCCACAAGGCTCTGTCTTGGGAACCATATTATTTTTGTTATATGTAAATGATCTCACTAACTTGAAAATATTAGTGGTAGGTTCACTTTATTTGCAGATGATGCAACTATAGAATGAATGGCACACTAAAGATAGGAATACTCTCAGCCAATTGATCTCTTTAGATCTAACTGAAATAAAAAGGTGGTGTGATGCCAATCAAATGGTCTTCAAGTCTAAGAAAACTAAATTGTTATCATTTAAATGAGACATCGTCAAAATACAACTAAATAATGATTCAAGCATGAAATCTGATAATTATAGATTCTTAGGTATTGTATTGGACCATAATTTAAAGTTTGATGAGCATATTATGGCAATGGCAAGGAAATTGTCATCTGGGTGTTATGCTATCGGAGTTATTCGAAATAACATCGGTTATGTTATTGTTAAAAAAGCCTACTTTGCTCTCTTGGAATCTCCCATCAGATATGGGATAGCATTTTGGAGAGCCTGCTCACAAGCGTTGTTCTCAATTATCTTTAGGCTACAAAAGAGAGCACTGAGATACATATGCCATGTTAATCACCAATAGCTCCACATAGCTTGCAAGAGTATTTTAATGAATCATTTTAAAAGTGTATTCCATTTTATATTTATTTTTATTGTATTTGTACCTGTTTTATTCAAACCATTATTAATTGCCAGTTTTTATCTATACACCATTATTTATGCTTATATTTATACCTACAAAGCTTTGTCGATGGGATACAATATACTTTATTGTATATTTTGATTTGATCTGACAACTCTGTCCTGTTCTGTATTTATAACCAATTGATATAGAATAAATTAGGAAAAACTGTTTTTATATCTATTTTACTGTATTGTTGTGAAAATATTTAATCCATATTGGTTTGCATAATTTTAATTTTATTTAATTATCATGACCTCCTGCTCATTTTGAGCAGTTAGGATTTATGTACTATTATATTTAGAAGCGTTGTCAAGAAGAATTCTATTCTTCAGATAATAAAGCATGCTTTGATTTGATGATTTGATTTGAAATAATTGGTGAAGTAGTCGAAGAGTACATCCGGCTTGCCAAAATTTGCATGGAACGAAATTGCTTCCAGTACGCCAACTGTTTTTATGGGCAACATGAGGGTATGGCAATGGGAAACTCGTCTTCTTTCATTGTTAATCTGTTCATGAGCAGATTTGAAATGAAAGCAAGGGAAGTGTTGGATTACTTTCCACGAACCTGGATTCGATACGTATTGCCATTTTCGATACAAATAGGAGTAAGTAGAAGATTTTGTATTTTGCTTCAACAACAGATTTGCAAGTATAAAATTCACATGTAAAATTGAGAATAACGAAGAAGAACTACCATTTTTGGATGTACTAGTTATTAAAAATGTCAATAAGGGTGTACAGTTTGATGTACGTAGAAAGAATACAAGCACTTTCAGGAATATCCCTGACAGCTCCTATCATTGCCCACAACAAAAAAAGGAGAAACTAGAAATTCGTGTCCATAGACTGCTCACATTTCCCTTGAGCAAAGAAAGGTACGCGATTAAGAAAAAAGTCTTTAGGGAGGTGTTTGAAAGCAAAGGTTATCCGTCAAACATTGTAGATAAATTAATTAGAAAACAAAAATTAAGGGAGTATCTTCGTAATGCCTCGACTTTTCGAACAGAGAAAGATTCAAAATTCATAATGCTTCTATATGAACCCAAACACACCAATGGGTTGATCCGAATATTCAGAAAATTGAATAAAAGAGTGGCTTTCAAAACTGCACATACACTTCAACGAGTGTTGGGCAGTCCAAAAGACAAGACGTTGAAAAAAGAAAAGTCTCGGATTCACGAAATAAGCTGCGAGGATTGTGATAAGAAATATGTTGGTCAAACCAAAAGGACTACATTAGCTAGCTACAAGGAACATGTTTCGCATGTTTGGTTTCATAGACCTAAGAAATCTATTGTCGCTCAACATGCCATAGAGAACGACCATAACATAAGTGAGAAATATTTATAATTGTTGAGACCGGTACATGACAACAGGTTTCTGGATGCTTTTGAAAGCTTGGATGAATAGCGACAAAGGTCCTAATCACTATTAGATATAATCACTAACATAGAGGAAATACTTATGATGCACTGTTTGGAACCTTTGGTGTAGTAATGAATATTACTGGAGTTTTTTCCCAACACCAAATCGTTATTTTCAACACCTCGACACGTGTTTCGATCACCAAGTGATCATCTTCAAAGAGGAAGATTAAACTGTTTAGGATTAACGAGGTCTTACCTTTTAACGTGTGATTCCTAACACGGGTTGGACGATAGCAAGTGAAGATCGATCGTTCAGACTAGGGCTTGAACCACCGACCAACACGGCAGTCAATTCGAGTGAGTGAACAAAGCACCCACGCCGAACCGCTTGGCTACCGACCGACCAAACAGTTCTTCGACCCATCCGATCCATTGGATGCTGAACAGCTCCTCAATTATTTGGAAGAACTTGACTCTGATGATGATGAGTATCAGACTATTCAGGATTCAGAGTACTTAGATATAGTACTTTTTCCTCCAGAAGACAAACACGATAGTGATCAGGATGACGCCCCAAGCGATCAAGATGGTCTTCCTACTATTCGTGATATTGGCAAGGGTATCTTGAAGCAAAGTATGGAAGTTCATTCAATTCCCAAAAATAGTGAGAGAACTATTCTTCAATCTGACCTCAGATATAATCTCATACTGTCCGATGAGAGCGACAGCAATAATGAAACTTTGGCGTCCATACAGAAAAGGCTAAAACTCGAGCAGCGAAAAAGGTGTAATGAAAAAGTTAAATCTAAACGTAATTGGGAGCCTGTGACTTCATGCCATAGTCCTGATAAGCTTGGGAATCTGAAATACTTCAAGTCGAATACTTCAAGTATTTCTTCGACGATACATTTATGTATTTCATCTGCCAAGAATCAAATAGATACGCATTGAAAAAGGGTTTTCATAATTTTTCCGTAACTGTGGAGGAATTGTATCAATATTTTGCAATCGTTATTTTATCTGGTTACGTTCCAGTTGCATCCAAACGAATGTATTGGGAAACAAAAGCAGACGCTTTCAACCCACTTGTCAGCAACACGATGTCAAGAAACAAATTTGAAAACATCCATAGGTTTTTGCACTTTTGTAATAACGATACCATTGATAAAAACGATAAAGTTGCAAAAATGAAACCACTTATTGACCATCTGAATGGAATTTTCACTGAACGCATTCAGCCACTAGGCACACATTTTTCATTGGATGAAGCAATGGAGCTGTATTACGGGAGGCACAGCATGAAACAGTTAATACGCGTTAAACCGATTCGTTTTGGTTTCAAATTTTGGTGTCTGTCCAGTTCAGATGGCTATCTCATCAAATTTGAACCATACTTGGGTTCTGGTGATAAACTGGAAGAAAAAAACGTTAGGAAGCAGTGTTACTGAGAAAATGTGTCTAAACTTCATACACAGGAAAGGCATCGTCTTCATTGACAACTACTTCAATTCTCTTCCTTAACTTGAAACGCTAAGTAAACATGAACTGTGTGGTATTGGAACAATACCATCCGACAGAGTGGAAACTGTGTGGTATTGGAACAATACGATCCGACAGAGTGGAAAAAGCTCCCCTGAAAGAATTGAAAAAGGAAAAACGTGGATCCCATTTCACTTTGTACGACAAGAAAGCTAATATAACACTTACACGTTGGCATGACAACAATCAAGTGGACGTGGCAACCAACCTGAATGATGAAAGCATTTCGAAAACAAAAAGTTCGTGCACGCGTTGGTCCAAATAGGAAAGATCAAAGATTGCGGTAGAGCAACCATCAATTATAAATTTTTACAATAAGGGAATGGGAATATTATCAAAATTTACAGAAAAAATTATTGTGGGCGTTGAGGGGTTAAGCAAGCAATGATTATTATAATAAACTTAACTAAAAAACCATTAGGTAACCAAAAAAATTAAATTTTTAAATCAAAATTCAGGAATGACACACCAAAATCTGTATGGAGGGTTATAAATACCTTAATCTATAACAAACAAGACCCAGTATTGGAAACAGTAAAACATATAAACGTAGGAAGAAGTAAAATTGAAAATCAAAACGAGATTTGTCAGGTGTTCAATGAATATTTTTTCATTCAAATAGGATCCATGTTAGTTGTTACTATCTCAGCAACACAGTTGATTTATAAAAGAAAACGACTTTAGCTTTGATGTTTTTGAAACCTACTGATGAAGAGAAAATTGAAAGATTATCGACGGCCTGGACATCAAGAAAATCATTTTAAAGGATGTAAAAAAGATAAAATGGAGAACTGCAGGCCAATATCAGTATTTCCTATTTTCTCCGAAATTATAGAAAAAATAACGGATAAAAGACTGCAAGGTTATTTAGAATCAAATAAATACCTTTACTGTCATCAAGTCATATGACACTGAATCAGCAACATTAGATGTTGTTACCAATTTCCAGATGGAATAAGATTCCAATAAAATATGTGGACTCACCATAATAAACTCCTAGACAGACGGCTGTTTGTATATATGGGAGAAGATGCTAGCTTTGGTGGGACTGTACTATGTGGAGTACCACAAGGGTCGATACTGGGTCCGGTTCTTTTTTCTCATATACATAAATTCTTTTTAATATGTAAACCTGAAAGGAAAGATATATTTATTTGATAATGACACAAAACTTGTTCATTCAGGTAATAACAGTTTGATTGAATTATCATCATGCCTTGATTCCCATAAACTATCTTTGAATTATTCAAACCCTTCATATATGTACGACGTATGTTCGAAAAAGAGGGTGAATGTTCAAATTTCGCAGGCTACGTACTTTTGATTAGCAATTTCTTTTAATTTTCATGCTGGTACACTGGTCTCGAACATATGTTCACAGTTTCAGCTGCTTAGCATGTTCAGTTTGTTGGTGAGAGGCATAAAAGTTAGAACTGTTTTGTGTGTTCGGCAATTTTCTGCTATTGAAAAAAGTGGATTAAAGAATTTCCATAAAATTTTGTGTAAATAATGGAATTGAGTGCTCAAAAACCCTTGAAATATTGACAGTGGCATACGGTGATTGTACTGTGAGTTAGAAAAATGTTTACAAGTAATAGAAGCTTTGCACAGAAGGTCGAGAAGATGTGAATGACTACACTTGTGATGTATTGTTTGGAACCTTTGGTGTAGTAATGAATATTACTGGAGTTCTATCCCAACACAAAAGCGTTATTTTCAACACCTCGGCATGTGACGTCAACGGCGATACAGATTTTCTGCTGAATCATGGGTATATGGATATGCCATCGAAACCAAAGTCCAATCATCCCAATGGAAGAGCCCAGGAGAGCCAAGGCAAAAAAAAACGTCAAGTTCTATTACCATGGCGTAGTGCATAAGGAGTTTTTGGTACATGGTCGAGCGGTCTTGAAGTTATGCATCGCTTGCCAGAAACAATACGAAGAAAACGTTCCGTATCATGGAAAAACAATTCATAGCTTTTGCATCACAATAATGCATCTGCTTACTCGTCATTGCTTGTTCCTTGTTCCTGATTTTTTTGAACAAAAACAATACCACATTCATCAGATTTGGCTTCTTGCTATTTTTTTTGTTCCCAAGATTGAAGAGACCCATGAAAAGATGACGTTTCACGAAGAATGAGAAGATAAGAAACAAAATCGCTGAGAGAGTTGAAGGACATACCAAAAAGTGCATATCAGAACTGCTTCGAGGACTAGAAAAATCGCTGGCAAAAGTGAGGGGGATTGTTGGAATCACAGATTCCAAAAAGCTTCTTCTGATCTTTTATTAATTATTTAGTTCCAACTTAAATTGTTCTTGAGCCATCTCTGAACACGCTCGGTCAATTCATTTGGTGTTTTCCAACTCCAACATCTGTAAACCTTTAGGTTCCTTCAAACGAATTCCCAGAATTCCATAAACATCGCCCCTCTCCCTTATCGGTCGACATGTGACGATTGAGAATTCACAGAAAGAACCTAGAGAGACACAACGCTTTCCGAGATTGTCCTCCTAGGTAGTGATACCTAACTGGCATTTTTTCTTCCTACTAAGAGTTAATCTCTTCATTTTTCAATTTTATCCATGACGCTCGAATAATTACGGCGTTTATATTTTTCCAAGACAATAAGTAAAAATGGTGAATTTGCATACATTAGTGGTACATTGTGCATAGTGTGTCTTGAAGAAGGAAATGTTTTGTAAGAAAGTTAAACACAGACTGTCTTATGAGAAGCAAATTGCCAACACCCAATGTTACCTGTATGTCCTACGATTTTGTTAGATGGTAGCTGCTAAGGATTGTAAATATATTTAGTTAACGAACTGATTCAGTGTCAATTTATTAAAAAAACCAGTAATCTACAAGGAATCCAGTCTACTAGTATCGAAGTTGTTTATAACTCCCCGGTGTTCGAGAAAGGGCAGTTTAAACCCATCCCGATCAGGGATTTTTTGAGAAAAATTAAAATTCACTTTACTTTTTAAACAGACCTCGTATATATCCAAAATACCTTTACCAGATTTGTATAAAATTCCCATTATTTTTAGAAAAGAGTAAATTAAATATTGGAGTGAAATTAAATTTGTAGGCTTACAATATTAATCAGAACCTAACGTGGTCCAAACACATAGACATTGCGAAAAAATTTGAATTCGACAGCAGCTTCCTTCAGTTCATGGAAAATGTATTTTTCCCCAATGTTTGCAAAATTACAATATTTGATTTCAATTTGGGGAACTGCTAATCATGTATTCTCCAGCAACTCAAAGTTCTTCAAAACTTTATAAACCTAAGAAACTTCTTAACCTGAATTTTTTGTATAACTACAAAATATCTCTATTTGTCCATTCAGTAAAAATAATCTTGAATTCTCTAATTCAAAATTTACCATTAACCATGCTTCTCACAGCCATTCAACAAGACAAGCAAATGATTTATCACACATACAGGTTAAACAGATATTGGCAAAACATCTATTTATCACAATATCATTATTACTTTACTAAGTAATCTTAAAACGTCGAGAAGTTTGAATACTTTTAAACATAAAATAATTGACCTGTTATTGACCATGATTATAGCAACATTTTAGAAATCCTTAATCTCAATCTGTTGAGAAAAAGGAGGGAAAACTTTGATCTAATTTTCATATACAAGTTACTGAATGGCTTAATTGTTGCTCCTGAAATTCTAGAAAATATTAATTTCAATGTCCCAAACAGAATTCTAAGGTCCAGCGATTTGTTTCACTTACGGTTTCATTCTACAAATTATGGCTTACATAACCCTGTTGATCGTACACTTCGACTTATTAATGAAAGAAAATTGGAAGTAACTGGTATATCTCTCAGCAAATTCAAAAACAATCTCTTAACTGCATGGTAGTATTATGATATGTATTTTATAATAACTTAAGTTAATGTAATATAGTATATTACTTTATTATATAATTGTTAATTNTAGTTATATTTTCAACACGAAAAAACAACTTTTCGAGCAGTGAAGAAGAATTCAATTAAATTCGAAACATTAGAAAGAAACAATTGTTTTTTAAGAAAAATTAATCCTTTTACCCAGCTAACCTTTCTCGAAAAAAATTATTGGACCACTGAACCAGGTAATTAAATATATTTGTAAGTTATGATATAGATTTATATCAAATATAGGCCAGTTCCATATAATTTTCGAAGGTTCGGCTAAATATTGATGGAAATGAGTGGTGCCTCCCCTTGTGGATTAGTTTGTCAAGCCTGATTAACAGCAACATCAATTTTTGATTACTCAAATAGAGAAATGTTAGTTTCTTCTAAAAATATGGATACAGATTGATTGTGACACTTAAATTCGAGAATATGTTTAACAATTTTTGAGAGAAAATAATAATTAATCCACTCAACAAATTATAACATTCATTCAAAAAACATACCTTTCTTGACTAATTTCATTCAAAAAGTCTCACTGGAAAGAATAGGTGGAGACAAGTTTAGCAAACCTGCGATAACTGTCATCGCATCATCCATGTGAGGAATCATAAACCATTCAATCTGGGATGAAATGATTTTGAATGATTTCATTTTCTGAATTGCTCTATCTACATGAATTGGCGTTCTTGGAGAATTTGGGGTAAAAGTAGTATAAGTAGATTCTTTCTTAGAGGAATGTTTTTTCTTATCTAGAAATGAGGGCTGATTGAGTTTAACTAGATAGTCTTCACATTCCTCCTCATTCGAGAAACCTTTGTTCACAATTACTCCTTCATGTGGGTCCAATATGAATGTAATGTCTTCTGCACTGGAAACTGCTTTATCACTAGTCCTTTCCCCGTAACAAGGACCAACATAGGCTATTAAACCTGATGGTGTGATCCCTGTTAGAATTTTCAGGATGAGAGTGTTTTTGCAATGCAAATAACTTTTTTGACTGTCAGTCAATATCTTGCTTTTTTGAACTGTTATGTCAATGCATTTCAGCACTACTCTGGTGTTTTCAAATTTTTTTATACAACCTGGCGTGTTGGCTTGTATTTCTTCTCTCGTGGGCCATTTCACAATAGGTCTCAAAACAATTGCAAGAAGTGACAAAGTTGAATAAAAATATCCTGTACAAATGGTTTTTGGTAAATTGAACATAATAGCTAGGCACTCAAAAGACAGATTATGCTTCAGTTTAAATAACACCAACACAATTCTCAATTTGAGGTTATCGGGAATGTCTTCAGAATTGAAAGTTAAAGCATTAATGCTACAGTCTACAAGAGTATTTATAAGCGTTACATCAACCCCAGTGAAACATTTCATACTGTAGTTGGAATTCATCACATCTGCTGAATTATAAATAGGAAAACTTGTTTGCACTCCTCTGTCAACAAATACATTCAATGTATTAGTACTTCGTTCTTGGTACTGAGTAAGTTGTCTTCGAGGTTGTCTCGTCTTGTGAGAGGTAACTTCATCTACCATTTCAATTTCTGATCTAGGTTGAACTGCTGCCCTCCTTTTCTTATCCTTATTGAGATTATCACTAGAGCCTCTTGACCTTGAAAAAAAAAAAAGATTATGGTTAATAACCTTCCAGCAGTGGTGCCGAATTTTTTTTGACATGGGCAGTCACGCCAGTCTAACTGACCATGGTTCGTTGGTTTATTCTTTTTTTTTTGCTGAAATATTTTATGATTTGGTCACAATTTGGGCTTTTATGATCAGTTATACACTGTGGACATAGGAATTCAACCCTTCCTTTCATAACTTTTGAACGGGACAAAATATCAAGGTCAGTCAAAGTTTACACAAAAAGGAAATTTTTAGAACTTTTCAATAAGAAGAATCATGGTGAGGCATTTGTTTGAAGGTGATTGACAATGTTTCATGATGAATTTCACTAGTTCGGACTTCCATTGAGGTAACACTATCCGTAGCAGCCTCACGAAAACCAGGCCACCAAACGCGGACTGCGATTCCAAGAATTGCATTTATCGAATACCCTGTGAGTGCGAAAAAGCCTATATTGGTGAAACTAAGAGGCCATTAAATGTTCGCATTGCCGAGCACAAGAAACACACCCAGTGAGGGGAAACCAGCAATTCAGGAGTAGCAGACCATGTTTGGACCCATCAACACAATATCGAGTCAATCGAAACGTCGTGAACTAACGTGGCTTGGGAATCTCCAGCATTCCAAACAGCTCGCACACAAAAAAAGTCTATTGTTGTCAATGGCCAGGCTCTAAAGCCGTGCCTGCAATCCAGGGAGTGTCTAAGCATCCGAGTTATTTCCGAAATCAAACACAAAATAACGACAACAAAACGAAAGGAAAAGGCCAGATCATTACAGCTGAACAAGTTAATGCGGCCATCACGGAAGCAAAAACTAGCTCTATTGCAGAAAGTCTTCAACATGCCTATCCTACTGAAGGAGCAAACACAGATAGAAGTGGTTGGACTAAATTCACTATAAGAGGAAACGTCGTTTCCTAGTTGGTAAAACTGAACAAACATGTAAGGTTGAAACTTTTCCAAGACTGGTTTCTCTCCACGTTACCAGGCTAAACCCCAGTACTAAATTAGAACTGAAGAAATTTTTGGAAGCTAATCTACCAGTGGTTGAATGTGAATTCCATCCCTCTAGAAGACCTGACATTTATTCAGCTGTAAAAGTAACCATAAAGCGGGAATACCTAAAAAATGCATGGAGGCGAGAGGTGTGGCCTAACGATGCACTAGTATCGTTTTTTGCGAGGAAGAAGATGCCGACAGAGTTACAGGATCCTCATCAGCAAGTGCAATCCTAACATCAGAGAATATAAACATCGAGGAAGAGCATATTGAACAAGGAAGGAGCTATGACCTAAGCATATTCCACCTAAATATAAGAGCACTCTTGAACAAAATCGAGAGGCTCGATGTATTTTTGAATGAACATCCATAGACATTGTATGCATAACAGAACTTTGGCTTAATCTTCAATGTCTAAAATTATGTAACCTTAATAACTATAGGCTGGTCTCCCACTACAACAGGGATAGGAACACCACCAATACTAATAAAAACACTATGGTAAGAAAATTGAATCTTAACAGGTATTGTATCGAACGGCACATAGAAGTTCGTGCTATTGAACTGGCTATGTCAAACACCGCTATTGTTGCATTTTATAGATCATCATGTATCAAGGACTATTCTGTGTTTTTTGACAAACTTGAGGAACTTCTAACTCATATGTCTGAGAAATTCAGTCGATTGATTGTCTTGGGTGATTTTAACATCGATTTCTTAACACAGACTCCAATCAGTTCTCAATTATATATTATTATGAATTCATTATGGATGCATTGCATTTGCAGATGACACAACCATCATAAACTCTCATAACCTTGCCACTGAGCTGGATAAGGGCATAAAAAATGCGCAAGAAAAAGCAGAAACGCGGTTTAAGAACAATAACTTAATGTTAAATAAAAATAAAACACAAATAATTTTCTTTTCCTTAAGTGCTAACGTGTCCAGTTCAGCATTGAGATCACTTCACATTAAGATCACAAATTCATTTTTTACATTATGAAATATTCCCTGGAGTTGGTTATTTGTTGCAAGCACCGCTTATTGTAGTCATGAGTTTTTGAATGAAATGCCACAGTGCAACATACATTTCAGATTTCATATAACCCTTCGACAGAATCTGAAGGTGTCATATAATTGAAACAAATGGTATGTGATATATCTGTAGCGGATTACGTACAATCATTGAGAGAAGTGAAAACGACCTTTTATTGACAATGTCACTTTTGATGGAATTAATCACAACTGAAATTACCTAAAAATACATACAAATATAGGTATACATTATACAACAATAAAACATTGAAATAATTTTAAGTTTGATCCTCAATACATATCAAGTGACTAGCAGAACATTCTAAGAGACGTCTGTCTCACCTACTGGTTTGGATAACTGACAAACCCAAATGAGATTTCAAATAATGTTACATTATGACAGGCTAGTTTGACAACCATTCAAACCAGTGGATATGTAGAGGTGGTCTCATTGAATGGTCCACTAGATCTCATAACAATAGTCAATTCTAGAAATTGTCAGGATGTTGATGGCGAACATTTTGAACATTTATTGGGATACACCGGAGTGAGTTTTGAAAACATTTGACATTTATGGTTTGTATGAAAATCACTAAAATTAATATAAAACTGCTGAATATTCAGAAAAACTGTCGGATAGATAATTGAAGAACCTGTCAAATGGATTAGGTATCACAAAATCGCCCCTTTCCATTTGAAAAAAAAAGTTGACAGCGCCCTATCGGCGAGTGATGATACACACTTGTCTAACCACATTTACAGCAGCATATAATATCCGTTGTTATAACATCCATATTTTTATCCCAGGTGCCCTGTTTCTTTATTGACTTACATTTTGAAAGCAAATTCACACTCTAACAACCTAGGTTATTTCTATGTTGCTAAATTGTTACATCGTAGGTGTTTACATGACTCAATAAATCCGATTTTATAATGCTGATCCTTTTTTTAAATGTTTTTACAAAACTGAACCAGTTTGATAACGTTCATTGTCAGAAACACTGGTTTTAGTAACTTCTGTTATTAGAGGTCCTCCTTCAAGATGCTAGGTAAACGTGGTCTATAATATTGTAAATATAGTGCCAAAACGATTTGAAGGACCATGAATACTGAAATAATAAATTCATTACCTTGTCCTACTGGATGAACCTATCCTTGGTTTTTTGTTTTCAATGGTCATTCCTTTGGGAATTTTCTGAGATGGAATAACTCCTTTCTTCAGCCTTTTCAACTTCCTATTTCTGGTATCTACAATATTAATAGGTTAGATACATATACATGCTAATGAATATGGGATTTCACATACTTAGAGTAAAATCATCAGCCTTAAAATGTTCACTGCAAACACACATAAATTTGGTAATCGGTTTACTGATTTTCAGTTTGATTTTCCATTCCTTTGCTAAATTTGTGTCTTGTGGAAAGCTATGCATGGATACATTGTCTGATACATAATTTTTACACTCCCTCACTGAACAATACCTGTGGGAGTTACTAATCATTATGTAGATCTGATTTTTACATCTGCGTCATTACAATAAATAAATGAAACTATATTATTAAGACTATATGTGACTATAGACTAGTGAAATTGGATATATAAAACGTATTTATATCGACAGACATTTATATCGATAGAGAGAAAAACAGGTAAATAAAAACATAAACAAATCTAGACATCTGTCATAAATTCTGTGAACCGGATCAGTGTTGCCAACGGAAAAATTTTTCGTACATCAAGTCAGGGTTCATATATATCCGGCCTTGTCTTATCTTTATTGACGCGTGTCAATACCATAAGCAAATTATGGCAATCTGTACAAATACATTTAAACATTACCTACTCTTGAACATTTGCGTACATTTTGTGACTGGATCAAATAATATTGATGAACTGGATTCGAAAAATGCTTTGTAACGTGACACCCTGGTCGCTTCCAATGACTACCTACCGGGAAGTTGCATACTTTCAATAATCTCCCTTTTTTAGTTATTTTTAATAAAGTTTTGTTGGTTTTCCCGTTACCATTGCTTTTATTACACTGTGCTATATTTATCAACTGTTTCATTGGCAATCGAGGTGATTGCCTATGCCGAATTAAGTTGTCTGAAGAACTGGATTACTTGCGAGCCGTCATTCGGTGACTCTTCTCGCCAACGCCGAGCCGAAACCCTTCACCACCCCCTTATAGCTTGTCTGACGCTCGTTAGTATATTCAGAAGAGCAGTTATGATTTACCAATATATTTTAATAATAAAAGGATAGTTTTTGGGAAAGAAAGTTTTTGGCTTTCTACTACACCATCTTGATATAAAAAAGGGATGAGGGTATCTTCCGAAGAAAGGAAGGAAGTAATCAATTTGAAAATAAGTAATCCCATACATGGATGTGTAGATCTACTCAGTTTGTATTTCATACATTCGTTGTGGAATAAAAATCAGATATCATTCACATAATATGTAGGTATATGTATATATATTCATATGTATCCATAATTAGCAAAATTTTGTTCAGAACAAGGATTTGAGGACCCTGATGAAGACTGACCCATCACAAACGGTGCATGGAATGGCGGAAGAACTGGGCTTCCGCTCCCTTGCGATTTTTGATTGTTCAAAACATACTGGAAAGATCATAAATTTCGAAAAGTAGGTGCCTTACGATTTGAACGATCTACAGGAATTGTGACGTTTCGAAGTCTGTTCTTTTTTGCTTTTGCGCAACCAAAACGATCCTTTCTTGAATCATATCGTCACGTGTGATGAAAAGTGGATCCTCTACAACAGGAGACGTTCAGCCGATGAGCCACCCAGGCATTTCCCAAAGGCGAAAATCCACCAAAAAAGGCCATGGTTACTGTATGGGAGGTCAGCGGCTGGTGTGATTCATTATAACTTTCTGCAACGGGGCCAAAACATCATAGCAGAGTCCTATTGTGACAAAATCGACGAAATGTAATGAAAATTGCGTCAGCAGCAGCCACCATACTTCTCAGATATCTCGCCAACTGAGTACCCTCTTTTCAAACACTTTGGTAACTTTCTCACCGGTAGAATCTTTTCCAATCCAGCATAATTTTTATGCTGACGAAATTAATCGACTTGGCAAAAGTGCACTGATTTAAATCAAGCTTATTTCAGTTTAATTGAATGAGTATTCACTGAGATATTACAAGTATATTATGAGTAGACTCATAAAAACGGACAAACATTTTGAAACAACATTATATTTACTAAGCTCAATAATTATTTCATGAAAACTATTAATTTCATTTTTCTACTGCCAAATAGAAATTTAAGAAAAAAAGTATTTCAACACAATTCAAGTTTATTGTTGTTTATTTATTACAATATGTACTCACTATTAAAAACATTATTGTTTCTTGGGGAAAAATAGCTGATGTTTCTGGGAATCAAATGATTTCAAATTAGGGGTAATGTATCAGCCCTGTTTGAGGAAATTGTTGTATAGGGAAACAAATGTTGTCGGTTTGTAAAGTTTTCATAGTGAACATCTCACAGATTCGTGTCCTTGTGTAATGTTGTCTCAAGATTTTGATTATTTCAGTGTTTTTTATTTTTATCATGTATCTAATATGTCTGATTATTTCAATATAGTTATATTTTCAACACGAAAAAACAACTTTTCGAGCAGTGAAGAAGAATTCAATTAAATTCGAAACATTAGAAAGAAACAATTGTTTTTTAAGAAAAATTAATCCTTTTACCCAGCTAACC